CTACCTACTGAGGAAATGAACTAAGCAGGCACCACCGATCTAGATTTGAAAAGCCAAAGCCAACCGGTGAAGAGGAGAGTGCCTTGAAGTCCAGGAAGAAGAGGATCATGCCTCTCTCAAGGTGACCAGAGGTTCAGGAATCTAAGCTGTTCCTATGGTGAAAGGCTAGACTGTGATTGCCCTTTGCACATATTCTCTCTGAATGCTTCAGCAGATGCCAAGTTGGCCCTCAACTTCTCTTGATACCCAGGAATGTGTTAGATGTCCAGTAGCCCAAGTGTACTCCACTGCTTCTGAATGATAGAATTGTGTCCAAGGCTGACACTGACTCCTCAGAATAGATGACAAGGTATTCATCCTCACCATGGATCAGCTGCACTTTCCAGGCCTGCTTCGGTCTGGGTGCAGGAATGGCCTTGGTGGTCTCAAATAGATGTCCCAACACCATAATGCTCCTCTTTGTAAAGATTGCTGAGCCATATTATAATCACTGTTTATTTCTGGTAAGCACATCTTTTGATTTAATTTCCTTTATGACATTCCACAAAGTTTCTTCAGAGTAAAGAACAGTACAAGTTAAAGCATAATCTAAAAGTATCTTTCATCAGGCTAGAGAGATGACTCAGCAGTTAGGAGCACTTATTCTTGCAGAGAACCTGGGTTCCATTGCCAGCACCCATATGGTAACTCACAACTCTCTGTGACTCTGGTTCTAGGGAATCCAATGCCTTCCTCTTATCTCAGTGGGCAACAAGCATGCACGTGGTACACAGACACACATGCAAGCAAAACACTCATACAGATAAAAAATAGAAAATTAAAAAAATATTTTATCATCCATTCACATCATTTAATTTTGCATGCATATCTCAGATTCAAATTATACTTAGTTCTTACTTAGACTGTTTCCCATTTTAAATATTAAATGCAAAAATTAAAATTGTGTGTGCGTGTGTGTGTGCATGTGTGTGTGTGAATGTGTGAGTGTGTGTGTGTGTGCATGTGTGTGTGAGTGTGTGCTGTGAGAGTGTGAATGTGTATGTGTGTGTGTGAATGTGTGAGTGTGTGTGTGAGTGTGTGTGTGTGTGTGTGCATGTGTGTGTGTGAATGTGCAGTTCTTTGACGCAGCAGAGTCAATCTACCAAAGTGCATTTTACTATATTATTACTATTCATGGGTTCATGTGACATGCCACTTGTGTCATCTAATAAATTAAACCAGATTCTGATTTGTACTAGCAAACCTTTTTTTAACTGATAAAAGACTGGCCTTATGTATTTTTTAAACTTAGTAATCATTAACTATGTCCATTATAACCATTGGATGAAGTATTTTTCCCTTGAAAGGAAACTCTCTGTGTAATATAAATATAAAATATCAGGATGAGAAATGAAAAAACAATTTAGTAGTGGCAATTATAGTCTCAAAAGTAATATGTGATTATAAGATACACTATTAATATATTTTATTTATTTATGGATATAATGTTAATGACAGAGATAATATTGTTTGGTCATCCTGGCATGGGGTTCTCCTTGAATAGTGGTAGGCAGTTGGTTGCACAGGTGGCAATAACAAGTTGTAGATCTTAACATGATATAACTACTATTTTAAGAGCCATTTCTGAAACCTAATCAGATCAAAGGAATTGAAACTGATCTGTTGGTATCAAACTACAATTTCCATGCTTCTTCTTGCTAGATCCCTAATAAACAAAAGTATTCAATTACTTTTTTAAAAATTAAGTGTATTTACATAATAAAATTTTGCTTTATGAAAGGTCACATTAACATTGACATGTTAGGAAGCAATTATTCATAAAAACAAAATATGAAAGATGAAAAAAACCCGATGTATTCTTGACCTAGAACACTCATCTTAGGCAAGAAATGAAAGTCAATTAAATGGTAGGCTCTAAAATTAAAAAAAAACTCAATGCTGTTGCTATCTATAAATCAATACCTCTATCAATTTAATTGGTACTAGAATAAAAGCAAGGGTATATAGAGACGTAGCTGGCTAAAACTGCTGTAGATGTATTACTTATCTTGCCATTTCAGTTATCACGAGCTTCAAAGCACATAGTTTTCAGCTTTTACAGAACTGAATCATACAAATGTTTGGACATTTTGGTTCATTGCAATCCCAATTAGCCCCTAGTTTCTATGGGAGTTGAAAAAGAGCCTCTAAAGTGACAAGGAAACCAGTTGCTTTTTTGTTTGTTTTTTTGTTGTTGTTGTTTGTTTTTCGAGACAGCATTTCTCTGTGTAACAACCCTAGTTGTGTTGAATCTCACTTTGTAGACTTGACTGACCTCAAACTCACAGAGATCTGCCTGCCTCTGCCTTCTGAGTACTGGGATTAAAGGTGTGCACCACTGCCTAGCACCAATTGCTTTTAGTATACTTCCTGGTGGAAACCTCTCACAAAGACTTTGAAGAGTTCTTTTCTTTAAAACACTTTAAAAATTAAATAAGAACAAAATTTACATAGTCTTCAATCAACAATGTACATGAATTAATTATGGACTTGGAGTTTTCATAAAGAAAGGAATAATAGTCATTAAACTATTCAGTTGAGTCTTCTATACTTAATTTAAAACTTTTAAAACATAAATTTATTTGAAAACAATCAACAATATACATGAATTAATTATGGACTGGGAGTTTTCATAAAGAAAGGAATAATAGTTATTAAACAATTCAGTTGAGTCTTCTATACTTAATTTAAAACTTTTAAAACATAAGTTTATTTTAAAAAAAGTCCTAATGAACTGATAGAAGCACATACCAAACGCATGGATCTCTGAGTTGCATGTTGCCAGCAATTCACTCATCTCACAGGAGCTTTAAGAGGTGGGGAAGGAGGAATGAGGTAAATGAAGATTCTTTATTTTAATTGGCAATAACTTATTTTAAATTTTTATTTTTAATTTTAAATTTAAATTAGAAACAAGGTTGCTTCACATGTCAATTCCTGGTCCCTCTCCCTTTCCCTCCCTCCTTCCACACCCTTCCACCAACCCCTTCAATATCTCCTCATTTCCCCAGGGAGGGTGAGGCCCTCCATGGGGGTGTCCATAGTCTGTCATTTCATCCAGGGCAGGGTCTAGACCCTCCCACTGGCAATAACTTTATATTATCAACATAGTTACATACCTTTTTTCTTTCAGCAGTAAATCATAACCTAAGAGTAAATATATATGCATGATATTTAAGAATTTTTTTCAGAATAGTGTAGGCTATTATCAGTTGTGACACCATGATAACATGTGGCATGTCATAATCCATGCTCAAGCTTGATCTCTTCAGTTCCCTTTAGCCTGACAGAATTTCTATCCATCTGAGAAACAGCAGTGATTTTTGCTTTTGTTTTTTTCCCTTGTAAATATACTTTTTGACTAAAACCACACTTCTTTTTTATTTTCTTGTAAATTAAAAATTGCTTTTCTAAAAAGCCAGCTGGATAGTCAGTGCTTTAATGTTTTGATGGACAGATATTCAATGCTTTAATGAAAGGCTTTCATTTCATAGGCAAGATCCCAATTTAACTTCAGAATTAAACATCAGATAACTGCTGAACAGATGCTCTGTACACACAGGTTTGCACATGGGTAGAGTGACAATGGATTCCTGCTCTGCTAGATAGCTGTTGAGTTTGTAAGTAAACGTCATTGTAAAACATAGTTCAACATTAGATACACTGATCCTGAAGTGAAAATGACCCAGAACTGAGAAAGCACAATATGCCTTAACTTTTCTGAGTATCATTCCGTCCTCAAGTCACACTTTTGGATGTTAGAGCAAGGGCAGCACATTGAGAAGGCCTGAAACATCATTAAATAACTACAGCATCAATGATGGCATCTGTATGGCCACATGGCACAGCATCCTGTACTTAAGGCAGCCATCAGCTCACTTGCTCTTTCTCTCAAGGTCCTGGTTGCTGATGCCTCGATTGTGAGCTCTGTAATGCCTGCTAGATCAAATCATTGAAAATTCTAGTATCATTTTTTACATTCATTTTTATTATTTTTAATTGGTGTGTGTGTGTGTGTGTGTGTGTGTGTGTGTGTACCTGTGCCTGTGTGTGGGTATTACATGAGAATATAGCTATCCAGGTCCAAAGCACTGGACTTCTCAGGGAGCTGAAGTTACAGTAATTGTGAAGCAACCAGCTATATGAGTGCTGGGAACTGAACTTGGCTCCTGTGCAAGAGCAGTATGTGCTCTTAACTTCCGCACTACCTCTTCAGCCATCATAATGCATTTTTAAAAGATGTGCTTTATTGGTAATTGTGTGTGTCTCTGTGAGGGGTATGTCATATGTGGTCAGGTGCTGGATCAGAGGCATTGGATTCCCCTGGAACTGGAGTATAGGTAATTTTGAGTTGCCCAGTTTGGGTTCTGGTAACCAAACTCAGGTCCTATGTAAGAAAATATGCACCCTTGAATACCAAGACATTCCTCCATACCTGATAATGCATGTTTTTGGTATGTTTTTTTAGATCAGCCATTCAGTCCTGCTAATTTAGGCTTTCCCATTTGACCTATTCAAATCAATTGTTCACCTGATATCTTACTCTTGCAAACTTCAGTTTTAAGGGGTATTCAGTGGTAATAGAGCGATATCAATTCTACCACACTTAGGAAAAAGGAGAATTAAAGTGGCTCTTGTAGCTGAAGAAAGTGTTGGGCCCTCAAATTTTGTTAGGGAAAGATACAGTTAAGTCATGGGAAACTTGGAAACATAGATGAAGGTCAATATTAACTATATGGACAGAAAACTAGCATTTTCTAGAAGAGGAGTGTGAGGTACACCATTTACAGTTATCGCCTACATTGCAAAAATTACATTTTTATCAACCATCCATAAAAACTCTGTGGCACTGTAGGTTGGAAAAATCCAGGGGTACACGTGCCATGATCACATGTAATCAGTGAAGGTGTTGCAATAGTGTACCACTGACACCTTCTAAGATTTTGCCCTGCAATGCTAACTATAAAAAGTCAATGGGTTTACAAAAATAACATTGCAATTAAAATATTTTAACTCAACACAGTAACTCTCTGCTCTCTTCACCACTTCAAAAACACAAACACCCCTTTACTGGTGCACACACCTAATCTCAGCATTTCAGAGGAAGAATCAGGAGTATTTTGAGTTCTAAACAAGTCCTGGCCACATAGTAAGTTTGTGACCAGCCTGAGAGTAGGTCCTTTTTTCTGAATAGTAACTGTGCAATCAACATCAATAACAAAATACCCACAAGTAAAAGGAAATACAAATGTTTGTCTATTTTGCTTGTACATAGTTTGTAAGTGTTTTGAAAGCAGTCTATAGAGTCTAAGGAAAGATGAAAATGTCAGTATGTGGTATAACAGCTTCCTGTGATACTGGAATATTCTATTCTGCAGGTAAACTCTTTAAGGCAGAAGGTAAACAACTCAGATTAGCTTCAGGAAGTCCCTGAAACTGATAAGATTCACTAGACCCCCTCTATGATCGAGTAAACAATAAAAACTGATTTCAGGGTTGCTGCAAAGAAGACTCTCAACCTAGTCAAGCTGCAAAGAAGACTTTGAGAGCAAGCCAACTGTCTGAAAGAAACAGAAACCAGCCAAGCTGCTTGTAAGAGGGTTAGAGCTACTGAGACATCTGGAAAGGACCCTCTCCAGTTTGTTGAGCTGCCTGTAGGCTATACAGTGTAGCCTGGGTTCCCAACTTTGTGCATCAGTGCTACAATGGGCTTTGTGATGCTGCTATCTTTGAGTTATTTATGCTCCTGTAAACAACTCTCATCCATATTCCTGTAAGTAAACCTCAATAAAACTAATTGGTTCACCAAACTGAACTTTGGTGGTATCCATACTTTGGTCTGCTATGCGTCCCCTACCTGGGGTGAATAGATGTGGGTGTTGTGACTCCCCAGGAAAGGTTTTGTCATGCAACACAGAGTGAAATAGTTTCTGACTTTCTGACTATTGTTAACAAATATCCAAAACACTAGACTAGCTGAGAAATTTTTAAAAATATTTTATTTATTTATTGTGTATACAGCTTTCTGCCTACAGGCCAGCAGAGGGTACCAGATCTCATTCAAGGTGGTTGTGAGCCACTATGTGGTTGCTGGGAATTGAACTCAGGTCCTCTGGAAGAACAGTCAGTGCTCTTAACCGTTGAGCCATCTCTCTAGCCCGAGAAATTTTTCCATAGGGGAAAAAGGAAGAAAAACCAAGCAAATAATAATAAGAAATATGCTTTCAAAAAGAATAAATTGGTAGGGTGGGAGCAGAAAAGGCAAGTGGAAATTATTTTGGGATACATTTGTAAGTCAAATCTGTTTTATATCATCAGAACAAAGAGAATATAAAATCAGAGTTCATACAGTTCATCATAATGTTCATATCAATCCTATTATTGTTATATGGTCATGTGACTGCCAGTGGCAAAGCTAGAGACTAAACGCATGTTCTCTGGCTGCAAATTGCACTCTTTCTCTTACTCCATACTGTCTTCCATTCAAGCTGTTTGTGTACTTCCTGTATGCTTAGAATGAGACCATCTACCTCCAGCACCTACTAGCTAAGTGACCACAGGCAAATTACCTTAATGTCTTTAGTTCATAACATTCACCCATGCAGAAGAAATCATGGCATCACATCTGTCATTACTAAGATCTTAGAAGATTAAACAAGGCAATGTTCTATAACAGTAACATTTATATGTTATAAGCCATTGTTGTTAAAAACTTATATATAAAAAGATTGATGAGATTGCCAAGTCAATAGATATTATTTTTAAGGACTAGTAGGAACCTCAGTTGGAAATAATTGCTTTCTAAATTAGACATACTCTGGGACATTGTTGAGTTATCATTGCAATCAGCTTATGTCTCCTCATCTTGCTAAGGGTGTCATGAAGTGGGTAAATTCAGAGCAGATTAATAACATGGTTAATATGTTGAACAGATAAGACCCATGAGAAAAGATGGTCTGAAAGTGTGAAAGCATTAGTCTGGAGACAAGAACTGTCTCTTAATACTTAAACCATCATCATAAGAAAAGGGTAGATAAGTATGGTGGTTTGAGAATGTCCTCCATAGGCTCATGTATTTGAACACTTGGTGGCACTCTTTGGGGACATTTAGGCGGTGTGGCCTTGTTGGAGGAAGTATTTCACAGGAGGCAGACTTTCAAAATTTACAAGGTTGTGCTGTTTCTAATCTCTCTCTCTCTCTCTCTCTCTCTCTCTCTCTCTCTCTCTCTCTCTCTCTCTCTCTCTCTCTCTCTCTCTCTGCTTTGTTCTTGCAGCTGTAGATGTGTGCTCTTAACACCCTGCTCCAGTGGGCATACCTGCCACATACTCCCACTCTGTCTCTGACATTGTGGATCTAACCCTTGTGCTCTGGTAAGCCAAATAAAGTCTGCCTTCTCTATATTGCCTTGGTCAGGTTGGTGTGTTACACAACAACAGAAAAGTAACTTATGCAACTATTTTTGTTCCTGTTCTTTGAAAAGCAATGTGAAAGTTATTATGAAAATATAGTCTAGATATGAGAAAGAATTCACTGGTAGAGTTGTTTATTAAAGATTAAAATAGATTACTAAAAGACATAGAGTCTTCTTTGTTAATGACTTTTCCAAAGAAAATGGACACAAATCAATTTTGTTTGGTCAATAAGGGATACTTGCAATCATAGAACAAGAAATGCTAAATTTGTGGGATCTTCTTTCAAAATCTCCCTGGATAATTTCCTCTACTAACATAAGAGATGTAGAATTTTTTTCTAAATATTTTTATCCAAATATGCAAACTATGTGAATGTATTACTATTCTACAGTAGTTTAAGTTGATTTATTCTTGTTAATATGCTTATATCTAAGTAGGTAACTTTTGTAGTACTTGACTAGATGCCCATGAATTTGTGTGTACTTTGGAAAATAATGTGGTATCCTTTTGGTGAATATATTTGCAAGTTACTTGAATATAATTAACTGTTCCTTTTGTTATTCCCATAAAGTATTTTGTCAGAAGATCTTGGTTATTTCTCAGTTTTGTAGCCTTTAATAATATACACTACGTCTTTTTTTCTATATGTTTCTTTAGTGATTGAATAAGAGGCTGTTTCAAACCCCCTGTTCTCACAAACTGTGGTGTGAAGACTGTCTTGACCGATGTGCTTTGTTTTCTGCCCCTTTCTTGTCAGAGTGTGATCAGGTAGTCAGACTGCTCTACAAAATGGAAGTGAGCCAATGACAAGAAGCCCTGTTTCCTTATTCACATTGACGGATACTGAACTGAGTGGTTTCCCATCAGCTGAGTAGAGGGTAATATTGATTAAAAGAGTTACTCACTTTTAGTTTTCTTCTTATTGAAGTCATATCCTTATCATTTATTCTTACATGTTACCTATATTCCTATCTGTCCAAGGTTTTCTCTTTTATTGACTCCAGACACACCTTCTATAGTCTCAGATGTTATTCCCTTGTCCACTCTTGGTCTATTACATTCATCTTTTATAAGTGACTCTTAGGCTGGTAGCTGACATCCTTACCTTATTAAGTCACTCCATCTAAAGACAACTCCCCATTTATTCAAGTCTTCTTTAAGTTGTTTAAAATGGTTTTTAACTTGTCTCCAAAAAAAGATAAGGTCTCTTACATTATAAGTGGTTGTCCCTGTAGAAACCAGCATTATTAGTAATTTAATGTACATGTTCTTTTAGTTCATGCCCTTTATGTAGTGCTCATAAATCTCTTGAGACTGGGTACATGTAATGTGATCTGAGCAGTACCTAAACTCCTCTCTGTAAACACGGGTAGTGATGTGTTCTATTCATTAAACTATTTTTCTCTTCCAAAATGCTTCTAGCAGATAGTAAACTCTAAGAGGTGATTCCTTTTGAAATAAGAAGTTGCCCAATCATAATACACTTAAGTAGTTAGATAACTCAGTTCCTTCTTTATATTACAGAAATTTATTATAACTTCCTAATGTGTGTCATACTGCCATGATGTCTAGTGTGATCTAGAAGAACCACCTCAAGGCAACTGTGAAATAAAAATTACATTCATAATAATTCTAAATTACTATTTTTCTTTTCCCACTGTGTTGCTATCCATACTGATGATGCAACAAGAATGGTGGTAAAACAGCCTTCCTTTTTAAGCAAATATGAGTCGAGACAGTGCTACCAAACTGGACTAGTGGACATATCCTTCGTTGACATGCATTCCCAGCAAAATAAAGTAATGGAAAAAGTAAAATATAATTAAAATATTAGTTTCATTTAGTAAGGAATATATTGAGCAGGGTGTGGTGGCACTCACCTTTAATCTCAGCACTCAGGAGGCAGAAGTACATGGATATCTATGAGTATGAGGCCAGCCTGGTCTCCTCAGCAAGTTTCAGGCTGCTAAGGTTACATGATGAAACACTGTCTCAAAAAAAAATATATATATATGTATGTATGTGTATATGTATGCATATGTATGTGTGTGTGTATATAATGATATAATGTGTATGTATGTATATATGTATATCATGCATGTATGCCGACCTTGTCACCAAGGCCAACGAGAGCTCGGCAGAGAAGAGGCTCACCCTGTCACAGATCTGTGAATGGATGGTGAAGAGTGTGTGTTGGCATTTCGGGCGGATTTCGGCACCAAATGTTGGTGTTTCGGGATGGGACAGGATGGAACAGGAGTGGGTCAGGTATTCTGGCACTCGGGAGTCACAGAATACTGAGTGCTACACAGCTCAGATGGAAAAGTATCTTGGAGCTCAGGAGCCAAGGACTACCACAGGTTGTAGTAAGCATAGCAACTTACAGCCCAGCCTCAGGGAAAGGCTTCCCCAGTGTATTGGCTCGGCTCCGGCAAGACAGGGTCTCCCAGCTGGGCATGTTCACCCAGTGTAGCAGTTTTGCTCCGCAGGTTTCTCTGGCGAAGTTGCTACAGTTCAGCTCTGCTCGTGGGGAGTGGAGATCAGGGAGCAGAGTGTAACAGCTCGGCTCTGCCAAGGGAAGGTTTCCCCAGCAAGTGTTACAACCCAGCTTGCTCTGCTCTGCTCTGCCCAGGGTCTCCTCTGCTCCCAGTCGCCATGGCCGCAAAAGAAGATCTTCACCCAAAGCTCATCCAAGGGGTTTATTGGAAGGGAAGAATCCAGGAGAGTTTCTTTCTCTGGTCCTTTTTAGCCTTTTGGCTCCAATTTTAGGGCCAGGGTACATTTCTTTCACTGAGTCTGATTCCAGGGACAAAGTGTGTTCTTTTGGCACTGGTTTCAGGGTCAGGGTACATTTCTTTAGTTCTGGTTGCAGGGCCAACGTGTGTTTCTTTGGCTCTGCTCAGGATGTGTTTCTTTGACTGGCCCCTTTTCCCTACAGTGTGCCCTATTTCAAGGATAAGGGCAACAGCCACAGCTCAGCAGGCCGTGAGAATTCAATTTGCCATAACCCAGTCTTCATAGTAAGTTTATTCGAGTACAGAAGGAAGGAACTGGAACAGGTTCTTGGTGGATGCTCAACCCAGAGGGAGGCAAGAGTGGAAACTCCCCTTGGAGAAGAGCTGCATGCATGGATAACAGTAGTAAATTTGCTAAGAGCCGGGGACCAGCTGACAAGAGAAAAGCATCCCTCCAGTCCCTGCAGGAGGGTCCTGGGGACAGCCCTGGCTCTCAGTTTTCTAAATGACCTGCAAGTCCTGGGTCCCACAGCAATGATGACTTTGATAACTAGAGTACATTTCGTCCTCGAACCACCTCAAATGCTAGTACGATCAGTGGGAGACTTTCTCCCATTATGATATAACAGGATGACCTGGGAGATGGGGAGATGTATTCTGTGATATATCTGCCTTCTACACACACACATAGAATAAAATACCTGTAGAATATTTCCAGGCATGGTAGCACATGCTTGTAAACCCAGCACTTAAGAGGCTGAAGCAAGAAATACCAAGAGTTCAAGCCCAGCCTGAGTTAAACAGTGAGAATTTCTCAAAAAGCAAAACAAAATAAATAAACCACAAAATCACAAATCTTGGTTTAGAATGAACAATGACTAATTTTATTAAATCTAAATATTTAACTGCATGTCTTTTTTAAATTTTATGATAAAATGTATGCTCGGGTATGCTAGTCATCTTAAGAAAAACACATCTGCCATAAAAAAAAAAGTGCCGTTACTGAAAGCTGAGGCAGCCATTTGTCTTCATGGAGCATCAGTGAAAAAACAACGGGCAGACAAATTTAAGGCATCGAACTTCAATGTTTTGCAAATGATTTCTGAAAACATTTTTAAAATGGAGTCAAGTTTAAAGCTGTCAATAGAACCTTGGAGATTTTTATTCATTACCATGAGCTCAACAGCTTCTGATAAAGACTTTTCTGAATGTGTGTGTGTGTGTTTTAAATAAAAATGTTCACATTTAAAATTTTTCATGAAACTAGTGAAAAAATATTTTCCAAATGGCCAATGTAAGAAGTTATAGAATCATGCTAGATAAAGACCCATTCAAATATAAAAATCGACTAATGATTTTATGCATAAAAATTAATTGTTTTGGTTCAGATTCCAGATTGCATGTGTCCTTTAAGGACTTAGTTCCCTTGAGTATTATCATGCTATCCAAGAGTATATATACAGTTATCTAAAGCATTTATTAAATATTTAGTGTGGAGAGAAATTTCTTCACATATTTCCAGGTTTTTAAATTTTTGTTCTTTTGAGATACAGCCTTCCCGTGTAGCCCAGACTGGTCTCAAACCCTTAATTCTCCTGCTCCAGCCTCTCAAATAGTGGATTGCAGGCATGTGCCACGATGTCTAGCAGATTTCCTGTATATGTTGTAATATAAGTTTTAGCTGACATTTCTTGCAGTATATCTATCACAGATAAGAAGACAATGACACTAGCTTGGTGAACCAACTAAGTTCATTGGGGTTTCTTTTCTAGTTTTGTTTTTTTACTTTTTGAAACAGAGTCTCACCATCCAACTGTGTAGATCAGGCTGGTCTGCAACTCACGAAGAGCCTCTGCTCCCTGATTTACTGGCCACATTAGAGTTTCTTACAGGATTCTTGGTGGCACGGGCTGCTACATCACTGAAAAGCCACACTAGGCATGGTCTACAACTCTGAAAGCCTGCATCGCTGCAGTCATCTTACACAGTGTGCAGTCAGCTACACCACTGAACAGCATCCTCTCCTCCAGTGACTTGTTACTGCCTACACGGCCTCAGAAAGGTGCCTTGGAGTCTTGTAAGTTTCATGAGTTTTTTGAGACTTAAAAAGCATTTTTTTAACTTCATGAATCTGTGAGCCTTTCCTCTGGGAGGACATGTTTCATTCTGGAGTAAACAACTACACAAGAAGAAGTAACATATCACTACAGACTGAATGTGGATACAGATAAGAAAATCCATCCAGCTATCAAATCAGGCATTGACAAGATTTGCAAAATGAACAGTAATTCCATTCTGTAGTTTTCTGTTTTAAAAAGCAGGCTATCTTCACAAAATGTTATTTAGGAAATTGTTTTTTTTTGTTGTTGTTGTTGTTATTTTTAAATGAGCAAATACAGAAATATTTTCAAAAGTCAGTCTCAATTTCTTTTTGTTTTTTGTTTTTTTTGTTTTGTTTTGTTTTTACGAGACAGGGTTTCTCTGTATTGTTTTGGAGGCTGTCGGTCCAGCCTGGCCTCAAACTCACAGAGATCCGCCTGCCTCTGCCTCCCGAGTGCTGGGATTAAAGGCATGCGCCACCACCGCCCGGCCGTCAGTCTCAATTTCTAACAGCAATTGGTGGTAGCTATAACACACACAAATAGAGTTTGGGTCCTGAGTTACTTTTAAAAGTGTAGACTTTCTAAAGAAAAAAGCGTGTAGATTATTCCTACTTAAGTGGGAGAACCATCACACAGGGAAAAAACATTCTGTTTCTAAAAGGTGTGTGCAAATATCTCGACACATAAAATAGATGTAATTTAATTAATTAATTAACTTTTAGATTTTAGAGACAGGGTTTCTTTGTGTAGTTCTGGCTGTCCTTGAACTTGCTTTGTAGACCAGGCTGTCTTTGAACTCAGATATCTGCCTGGCTCTATCTCCTGAGTGCTGGGATTAAAGGCACTTGCAACCACTGCCTAACTCTAAATGTGCTTTAAATCCATTGCACTGGTGTTATGGGTATTGTTTTTCATTTATTGATATAAATTCAAGGTCAATTTTGTGATGTGTATATTTCTCCTCTTGATTAAGTATTGTGATTATACTGATCATTTAAAAAATTATGCATAATTAAATACAGACTATAGATAGTTACTTATAATAGTCAGAACTTATAGTTAGGTAAGTTA